CTCCTTGGCAATCATCTCACTCTTTGTACCATTTAATACAGTTCTTTGTTACTTTCTTTCTTCACCCATGTGAGTTTCTGGAGGGCAGGAATTGCACTGCCCCCATCCCCAACCCCTCTACACTGGACAGTGAGGAGACCAAACCAGTCAATCCTAAAGGAAATTGACCCTGAATATTCACTGGATACACCCATGCTGAAGCTCCAATACTTTGGCCACCTCATTTAGAAGAACCAACTCTTTGGAAAAGACCCTGATGCTGGGAAAGATTGAGGGCAGGAGAAGGGAGAAACAGAGGATGAGATGGTTGTATGATATCACCGACTCGATGGACATGAGTTTGAGCAAACTCTGGGTGACAGTGAAGGACAAACAGGGAAGTCTGGCACGGTGTTCATAAGGTCGAAAAGAGTCAGACAAGACTTAGCAACTGAACAACAGCAGCAAACAATAAGACATGTTGGAGCGAGCATTTTTAGATTGATAAACAGAGGCCTGGTGGCTAGACCATTGGGGTGACTGATTCATTCTCATCTTGACCTTGCTTCTTAATCACAGTGGTGTCCTTGGTCCGTGTCTCCTCTCATTCTCTACCTGGCCCCACTCCTGACCAGCCTTCACTCCTCTCTCCAAAATCCCCAAATGCAGCATCTGCCAGCCCTAACCTCCAAAATATGTGGAATTCTTGGATCTAGCATTCCATGATACTCAAATCAGTTTTGTGCCCTCAGGCATGACTGTGTAGATTTGCTTTTTCTTAGTAATTCATTAAGAAGAAGCAAGAAAACCCATTCTTTAAGGAAGTTTTACTCTTTCTACTATTTGCTTCATTTTCTTCAAGGTGATACCAAAGAAATTAGTACCAACAACCACCAGAGATTTTAGTGATTTAACAGCTAAGCTCTTTGATTCATAATTCCTTTTCTTTCATTCGATTTTCTTTTTCCCTCCTGGTGTTTTCCAGCTGATATATCTGAAAATGACTATGATCAATCTTCCGGGTAACTGGAGAAAAAAATTACCCAAATCAACACATTTTAAGAAGCATCATTCACAACTTGGCCTCCTAGTAATATTAGTAATAATATCTGCTTAGTGAGTGCTCCTATGTTGAGCATTTTACACACATGCTGTCATATATAGCTCACAAGTAAATCTTAGGAGTGTTGGCATATGTGCTGTCATCTACAACTCACAAGTAAATCTTAGGAGGGTTATATCTCCCTCCTGTTTCAGATGAGGGACCTGAAAACTTGCACAGGAGTTCCACATTAGGCACTGGAGAGGGGATTCTGCCCACAGGCTTAACTATGCTTTCTGGTATCTCTGGATCATCTTTTCCCTACCCCTCTCTCCCAGCGTGTGTGACCCTGAAGATGGAGGAAAGATTGACATCTCTGGGCTGCCCTCCACAAAATTCTGCTAGCTCCTCTCCCAATTCCTCACCCTATGGCCTGCTTGAATGATACTTCCTCCAACGTGTTTATGACCCTGGTTTACGTGCTCGACCCTCCTGCCTCATATTTTAATTTCTCTCCAACAGTGGAAGGACTGCTGGGAATAATCTGATGCATGTGAAGAGAAAACAAGGAGTTACTAATAAGATTAAATTAAATGTAAGCACATCTTTACCAGTGTGTAAAGCACAGTGCTAAGCACTATTTGAGATGAGCAGACACAAGCCAGAACCTCATGGTCCTCACGCAATTTACAATCTGGTGGGAAGAGAGGGTGAGGAATAAGACTACACACATATATATGTGAGTTCATGCCAAATATGGTAAATTCCATGAGAAAGGAATAAATGAAGTGCTGTAGGACTGGAAAGCAGGGAGTGCTCACATTTCCCTTGGGACTGAGGAATGACATCGTATGATATGAGAATGGCTAGGATGAGAGTAGAAAGCCTCGAGCCTTACTCCAGGCTTGATCACTGATATGCTACTAATAAGGTCTGGGTATTTCTCTTCCCCAGGACTGACCACATAGTTTATAGGACTCAATACAAAATGAAAACATGTGGTCTCTTGTTTAAAAATGAAGAATTTCAGGATGGCGAGAGTAAAGAAGGCAAGTGTGGGAATCTTCTCAGCACCCCAGTGAAGCTGGACTTCCTTGGGCTTCTGCTACCCCAGCGGTTACCTTTGGTAAGTGGGGAGGCAGGTCTCACCAGCATTGAGCACAGTGCCTGCTATGCAGATGAATCAGTGAAAGACTGCAGACAACAGCAAATTTACATGATGACTTCTTGGGTCACTTTCAGTGACAAAATGTTATTGGATCATGATTCTAAACACTTGTTATTTTAAAAAAAAAGCTTACTGGAGTATATTTGATTGTTGTGTTAGTTTCAGGTGTGCAGCAGAGGGACTCAATTATACATATACACATATCCCCTCTTTTTTAGATTCTATTCCCATATACGCCATTACCTGAACACTTCTTGGAGGAGACATTTTAGATGAGTGTTGCAGGATAGAAAGATTTTTCCTTCTTTTTTGCCTACCCTTTCTCCTTCCTGTCTGTCCTTCCAGTATGTCCTCATTTATCTCATAAACCCTAATGACTTACATACTGGAACTAGCAGAGGAGGCTAACACTTGAGGGATGACTCAAAGACTGAGGACTCATTAAAGATTCCTCCAGGCAGTTCCCCAGTTACAGGGGAAGGCTTTGCCTAGAGATCAAATCTCCACGGGTGGAGTCTTGTCTTTCATTTTAAGACTCTTTTGTTTTATTTTCATTGAACAATTTGATAGATGTCCATGAAAAAAAAACAGAAAAAACATAGATGAGAAGATATTCATAAACCCATAAGAAATAGTTCTAATGAGACTGCAGTACAAAATGAGTTTTCAACTTACTTTTCTATTCAGTGATATATTATGAGCATCTTTGTGTGTTAATGATTCATTATACTTTTTCATTTTTCGTGGCAGTGTGATATTCTGTCATTTGCTTGTACTGTAATTTTCTTAACTAAACCTCTCAAATTGAACATTTGGGTTTTTTTTTTTAAGCTATTCTAAGTGGTGTTACCCTGAATTTGCTGGGTAGGCAATTAACTTAGTTTCTCCAGTTGTTATTCTTCTCTGTGGATAAACTCAAGATAATAGTAACAGTCCCTCTTGGGGTTGCAGTGTGGTGTCAGTGAGTTAATATGTATAAAGCTCTTAGCATAAATACAATATAGTGCATAGCGGACTAGATGTGCAGTCAGCCCTCCCTCTATGGGGGTTTTGTATCTGCAGATTCAACCAAATCAAATGTGATCAAATTTGCTTCACAGCTGATTGAATCCTCATATGTGAAATGCACTGATTTGGGGGGGGTCAACTGTTATTCCTTGTATTGTTCGTTGTTGTTGTTTAGTCCTGTCCAACTCTTTGTGACCCCCATGGACTGTGGCCCGCCAGGCTCCTCTGTCCACGGGATTTCCCAGGCAAGAATACTGGAGTGGGTTGCCATTTCCTTCTCCAGGGCTCTTACCAACCCAGGGATCCAAGGAGATGTGGATCGGATCCCTGGGTTGGTAAAAGCCCTGGAGCCACCAGGGAATCCCATTCCTTGTATTACTCCATTTTAGATAAGGTCATTGAGGCATCTGCAGCTTTTGGTATCTGAGAGGGATCCTGGAACAAATCCCCCAAAGACACGGAGGGGCCAGTGTATTTGTTGTTTCATTACTTTACTGGCCCAGGAGGAACTGTCTCGCCTAGATCATGGAGGAAGTTCATAGCAGAGCCTGGGAGGCTGGACTTCTAGTCTAATGTTCTTTGCAAAACAACAGGATGAGGTGCAAGCTGGGGTAGGCTTGGACTGGGGGCTTCTTAGATTAATAAGTTTTCTAGTGGTTTCTTGTTTCTTCAATTGTAGAATAAACTCCTGGGCGGCTAGAAGACTCCGAACTTTTTTTCCTTTATACAGCCGAGGACAGCAGGTACTCAGCAAACAATTGTCACTGTTCCTTGATATCAAAGCACCTTAGCAGATGTGTTTCCCGTGAGACTGTGCAGTCATCATAGTCTTTCTTTCCCTTGCACACACACAGCCTGCTAACTGGGAACATGCTCTGACTGAAGATTCTTGCCAAGGGCAGTGACAAAAATCAGTGCTGTTCAGACTAAGAGATGGTTGCCCCACCTTCAAGGATGCCCCAGGGATGAAGGAAGCTAGGTGTGGCAGGAGCAAGTTACATATACCTCCGGTCGAACCTTGAATAATATATTACATGAATGAAGTCTCAGAGGCTGGCTTCAAATCCTGATTGTACCAGTGTGACCCTGACCAAGCCACTTAAACCATTTCAGTTTCCTCACTTGAAAAATATAGATTGCCAACTAATAAAAATAAATGAAAAAAAAAAAGAAAAAAAAAAGAAAGAAAAATATAGATTGGTAATAGCGACTCTCTTGTAAGACTATGAGGATCAAACAGAGAAAAACTAGGAAGCATTAAGCATATTGGCTGGCGTCAGGTGTAATGATAGTAGAAACATGCAGCGGGACCACCAGGCACCGATCTAAGCGCTTTACATGAGTGTGTGTGTGCGTTAAATTGCCTCAATCGTGTCTGACTCTTTGCGACCCAATGGACTGTATAGCCCGCCAGGTTCCTCTGTCCATGGGATTCTCCAGGCAAGAATACTGGAGTGGGTTGCCATGCCCTCCTCCAGGGGAACTTCCCGATTCAGGGGTTGAACCTGTGTCTCTATTGTCTCTTGCATTGGCAGGCAGAGTCTTTACCACTAGCGCTTTACATACGTTAACTATATTCATCTTCTCTATGTCCTACGAAATAGGTACTGGTTATTAGACCATCTCAAAGATGAGCAAACTGGGGTACAGGGGTTAAGTTATATGCACTCAAGTCAGGTTAGCATTTTTTTTTTTTATGCCTAAGATTCCTTCCCAGCTCCCCTGGGATGATCCCTCAGAAGAATCAGAGGGCGCGCCAGGCCACATTCCGGCCCAGCCCGAGGGCGCCCAGGACAAAAAGGGTTACTGGGACTGCGCGCACGCTCTCGGCCGGAGATCCGCGGGCCCGCGCGCCCGGCTCACAATGCAGCGGGGCGGGGCGGCGGGGAGCTTCGTCGCCTTCCATTGGCGCACACGCCCCTTCCTGTCACTGCGGGGCCCGGCACCGCCCCCTAGCACCGCCCGCCGCTCAGGCGCCGCCGGAGTGGACGGTTCCAGACGCATGCTAATGAGGGGGCGGCCGCCGCAGCCCATTGGCCGGCCGCGGAGTGTCGGTGAAGTCAGCGCCGAGTCCCAGAAAAACAGAGCGGGGCCAACTGCAGCGTGTAGTGCGAGTGGGGCAGGACGCGCGCCGCCGGCCCGCCAGCCCGGAGACCCGCAAGGTAAGCCCGCGCCAGCCGCCCCTTGGCCAGCGCTTGCTTGATCGCCAGCACCGGCGCAGGGGGCGTGCGCCAGCCCGGCCCCGGCGGGCGGCGCCTTTGTCTCACGCTCGGAGGAGGTGCGTTTAAAGGGCCAGCTGTTGGAAGGACTTGGGGGACCCCCTCCCCCAGAGCATCCCCCGTGGTCGCGGGGAAAACCGTGGCCCCCCTCGGTCGAACCCTCCTTCCTGCCTGGTTGGTGGATCCTCAGTTTTTAAGGGAAAGTTCCCCAGTGTGCCGGGATTTGGGATATTCCGGATTTATTTATTTATTTTTTTGGTGGGTGGGGGGTACGTACGATCATGGCCTCTGCAAGGAGGAGAACGTCCGCCTGCTTCAGGCTGGCTGCAATATGGGTGGGTGGGGGAGACATCAAAGCCCGAGTGGGTTTACGCTGTAAAGTGAAACTACCGAGGAGGGGCTCCTCTGCAGCAGCCAGAGGAAGGAGGGAGCGAGCGGCAGGATGGAGGCTTCTCAGGTGTGTTCATTCATTAGCATCCCTCCGGAGGAGAGGGCGGCGGGAGGAGAGCAAGGACTATCAGCCTGGCCTAGGACCCGCCAGAAGGAGCGGGTACGTGTGTGTGTGTCCGGGGACGCCGGTGCCTGCTCATCCGGCCATGCTTCTTCATCCTTCATCCCTCAGAGTGACTGGCAGCTTCTTGCTAGCCAGCTCCTCACCGAGATGAACAGAAAGCGACTCCTTTCTCCGGATTCCCTGGGCATCCCCGGCTCTCCGCTGGCTGCTTTCCGAGGTGGCTTCCTTGATAAGCGCTAGCGCCATTCAAGATAGAGGGGGAAACAAGCTTGAAATCATTACGTTCCCCCCCTCCCCACGAGGGTATGTGCTGTTGAATTCTGCATCCCCCTGCATCCGCTGTCTTAAGATGGCTTTGAAATTCACCAGTGCATGCTTTCCTCAGGCAGACAGAATTTATTACGCTATTACATTGCTACATAAAAGCAGAAAGGATCCCACTGAGTGTAGCTCGTTTTATCCAGACTCTGGATTTTCCCAGCATGTTCTGGCCGAGCCGTTGGATTTTTGTTGTAAACTGAGCTCTGGGATGCCCCTCATGTCACAGGGCCGACTTGCCGAAATTGCCCGAATTGATTTCACCATCAATAGGAGGGAGGTTCATTTAGAGATAGCATGAAGCCTATCTAGCTTGTCAGGCCTCTGACATCACCCCTCCCTCTCCTCCCCGCCACCCCCGCCCCCCCCAACCGGCGCCCTTTTTCTTTTCTAAGTGAAGGCCAGGGAGGGCTTGTTTATCTCCAAGCCCCTTCTTGGTTTTGAACTCTAGATTAAATTTTGTGTTTTTGATTGGAAAGGTGGCTTGGTGGTGATGGAAGAGAAGGGGGAGGCGCAGCCTCAGTGACAGAAAACACATGCTGAACGTTTGGGGACTCCAGATCTCCAGACCTTAGAGACATAGGTGAGGTTAATGGCTGTCTATGGAGTCAGAGGGGGTGAGTGTGTGTGTGTGTGTTTGTGTGTGTGTGTTGGCTGTGAGGGAGGGAGGAGGAGGAGGAGGAGGAGGAGGAGGATATTGCCAGCAATTTTCTGCCCCACCCTCTTGATGCTGCCTTAAATAGCTCCTTACCATCAGAGCTCTGATGTTTCAGGCTCTTGGTGGGAGGGGAGGGCAGGGGAGCATTGGTCTGTTGATACCTCTGTCCTGGGCACTGTTATGTGTATGGTTAGGAAAGGGTTAGTTCTTCAGGGGTTGCAGAGAGCTCATTTCTCTGCTGGAGGGCACTGAGTGGCACTATCTCTGGTGGCTATCTCTGGTGCAGGGTATTAGCAGCTGAAAAGAGATGCTTTCTACCCCTAGGGTGAAGAGCTGGAAGGGTATTATCATCGTCTGTTACACACCCACTGTCTGTTACACACCCACCCTCAGTTGGACCTTTCCTCCTGTCATCTCCTGTTTTCTTTTATTCTAGTTGGAGAGTTTCTATGAACTTTTCTGAAGGTACTTGGAATGTTGGAAGGTGAGGTAGGAGTTATCGGGAAAGCAGATGCTTCTTAGTGTCAGAACAAAGAACTGTACGGGTCTCCGCTTCCCACTTCTCCAAAATAGAGTTGCATATAGATAGCAGAGTCTGGGGTTTTCTCTGCAGAGAATGAATGGGCAGGGTTCAGGGAAGAAAGCTTGTTAGGCAGCATTAGTAATCATCTGGCCATCCAAACTTAGCTCTGTTCTGCTTCCCTGGACTTGGAAATAGATTTGTCATAGAGAGAACTCACTGGTAATTTGGGGTTTAATCTGTCTCTTTGAAAAAGGAAACGGATGGTCTCAAAAAGCTTTGATGAAAGTCCTCTGGGCCAGAAGCAGGACCTCTGGCTTTGATCTGGGCATAGATCTGTGCTGGGCTTTGGGTTCGTGGCTTCTGCTCTCTGGGCCTCTGCCCTTGTTGGGAAAGTGGAGGGCTTAGAAGTAGATTATTTTCTAGGGTTCCCGACACATAACTGTTCTTAAGAGTCACAAGACAGTTTTCGATGGCATTTCTAGATTCTTTTCTGTTTGCTAAGCTGATGTTAAATTCATAGTATTGCTCAATGGCATGAAAGAAACATTCCAGGACTCAGACTTCTGTTGGATATTCAGATTCATCTGTTCCTTGATTAGTGTGACTGGGGGAGGCTTTGCTGTATCTAAGTAATTTAGAGCTTGAACAGCTCAGAGAGAGGTACAGCCCCTCAGTGTGGGGGGTTGGTTGAGGCGACACTAGCTGGGGTGACAGAATGCTGAGGAAAGGGAATTTCTATAATTCATTCTCTCTCCCTGTGTTTAATTCACTGCTTTATTTATGGTTATACAGGTGGGTGTTTGAATATTTAGGACCTGAGAGCTGGACAAGACCTCTGTGGTTGCCAGGTTCATCCCCCTCACTGGGGAATTTGAGGGGTTGGGTGGCTTGGCTGTTTGTTCAAGGTCAAACAGCTAGCAAGATACAGGGCTGGGCAGAAACTCAGGTGGATTGACTCTAGGTTTTGTGTTCTAAATATACCTCCTATGCCCCCTCTTCCTCTGAGAGCAGTGATACTAAGACAGGGTAGAGAAGAGCAAGAAGAGATTAGGGGCAGAAGGGGGAGATCGGGGAAACAGAACAGGTAGGAGGTTGGGGGCTGGTCAGGTAAGGAAGGGGAAAACATAGACACGTGACTTGGGAGTCAGTCCCCTGGGATCTCTCTGTTGACCCTCAGCTTGCAGTGTTTGGTTTCAGAGCCAACTCAGCCCTTTGAAGCCAGTGGGGCAGGCAGAACTTGAACATGTGGAAAGTCAAATGTGCTGGGAGTGATGCTGGAGAATGCTGAGGTGGGAACCCGTTCTGCTGAAGTACCAGTTCTGGATTTTTTTTTTTTTTTTTTTTGCTTTTTAAATACGAAACTAAAAAGTTTTCCATGGAATTTCTTTTCAATGCAAACAGCATTTTCTCCCGTCTCTCATTGGTGCTTTGTACATTTTCTGAGATGGTGATTTGTGTAAAGTATCTCCGTTTGTAGAGGAGATACTTGGAGGTAAATGATTTGCTTGACTGTGGCTCCTCTGGAGGGAGCTTCTGGCCCTTGACCTGAGCTAAGCCTCAGAATGTTTAAATGAGCAATTAAAGAGCTGTGAACAGTGGTTAGCCAGATTAGTAACCATTCGAAGGCAAGGATAAAAGGTGATAATACTTTGAAGTCTATAGCCCAAGCCTACCCTGGCACATGCAGTGGTCTAGGAAGTGTCTCTGTGAATCCTTTAGTTGTTCCTTCTTTTTGTGTGTGGTTATTCATGTCTGTCTGTCCCTGTGTCTTGCTGTCTTCCTGTCCTTTTTCTCCCATACCCCCGTCTATCCATTTCTTTTTCTGTCCTCCTGCTGTATCTTTTTCTTTGATCTCCTCTCCCATCTTTTATTTTCTGTCAATGACATAACTGTAATTGTAATATATTTAAGGTGTTATTAAAATCTCCTCTTCTTTGTTTGAAATCAGTTGAGTTCACTTTTTTTGAATGTGTGTATGCGTTTTACACACAAAAAAACAAACCAAACCCAATTAAATTGCTTTTTACTTCTGTGTGGTCTTCCATTTATATATATATATATATATATTTTTTTTTTTTTTTTTCCTCTCTGATCCTCTTCTGTGGTCAGTAGTGGGTCTTTACAGAAAAAAAATTTCCCAGTTCACTGTCACGTGGATATTATTGTTTTTATAACAAAAACAGCTACAACAATAGAAAAAGTTTCCACCCTTGTTTGTGGACACAAGGGACACCCTCTCCCAAGAGATGTGCCCTATTTCTTGACTTCCTTCCATGGAAAGAGTGTCTGCAATATATTCTCTAACAGAGGACTGTGGTATAAGGGGTTGGAGGTGCTGATGGTCGAGCTGGGGTTTTATCAGTGGTCCTGGTATTCTTTAGAGGGGGGACGGGAGAAAGATGGACAGGCTTATGACCGAGAGAAGATATGTTGGAAACATTCAGTGTGGTAGTTTTTTTTGTTTCCCCAGGCAGAGCTAAGTCACCCAGCAATAGCAGGACCCAAACCACTTTGAAAAGAATGAGATGCTCCTCACCTTTCCCATTCATGTTGGTACCCAACACAGGGAGGGTAGGCAGCCCTTGAGAGGTTGCTGGTGTGAAGTCCCAGGTGCTTTGATGGAGGCATGCAATGGTACTTTAACCTTTCTTCTGATTCTTGTGATAATTATAGAGAAGGTTGAATCTTGATGCTCAGTGGTCAGCAGATAGCTTAGTGTCTACAGTGGGCCTCTCAAACAAGAAGTCACCAATTTTTATGTTAAAAATTCACATGAGTTCTGTCTTCTGTAATACATCTGTGCTGGTTTTAGTGTAAAAGCATTTAAAACACTTCACTGTTGGGTACAATTGATGTTCCAGGAAAATGTTGTGTTTGGGGTCTTCTCTTGTCCATACCAGCCCTAAATATGCACAGCAAGTCCCAGACCCCAGTCAGAGAAGCCAGCAGTGGGGCAGGTGTCACACCTGTGGTGTTGGGAACTGTCCACCCAGCTTTTCCTGCTGACTCTGCAAGACCCACTGATGTGCCATGATTCAGAACTGTTTCATGTTCCCCCTGGTCTTTGATCCCTCTCCAGAAGGCCTGTTTCTCCTTTGCCTGGTGAACGCCTACTCCTTTCAGGTGTCCTCACATCTCAAAGAGGTGCTTTCTTCCTGTGATTGCCTATCGGCAGTAGCTGGGGCGCTATTTTCTCTACCGGATTATGAGCTCTGGCAAGAGAGAATTTGTGTTTCAGCTCTTTTAAAATTAAAATTTAATTTGTATCAGAGTCATATATATGACTTTAAAAGTCAAGTAACACTGCAAGGCTTAGGAAGAAGGCTGTGGATCATCCTGATGATCCACATCCTGATGATCCACTACCCAGGGCTATAGTCACGGAACAGGATTTTCTGTTGCTGCAGGAAAAAATTGCCACCAATGCAGTGGCTTGAAAGCTCTCTGGCTTAGAAGTCTGAAAAGGGTCTCACCGGGTGCAAGTCAAGATGGTGCCAGGGCTGTATTCTCTTCCTTGCATCTTCCACTTTCTGGAGGCCGCCTGCATTCCTTGGCTCATGGCCCCCTTTCAACATCTTCAAAGCCAGCAATGGCCATGAGTACTTCCATCCATCACTGACCTTCTAACATAGTCACACCTTCCTGACTCCCTTCCCCTTTCCACTTTTAAGGACCCTGTGGTTACTTTGGTTTCACCTGGATAATCTAGGATAATCTCCCTGTTTGAAGTTCATTTGATTAGCAGCC